TTTCCAATTTTTTTATGATATACATTCAGTACTCCTCCCATCCCAAAATACTATATTATAAACGTCACTGCATGTACAATTCATAATGAAGTGTTAACATTTGGTGTTTATTTAAAATATTTCTAAAATATTTGAATTTCATTGTTTACTACTGTTTGTAAACGTTTAATCTATTTTAACTGTGTATCTATTCTTATTCCTAAGTATTTTATTTTTTCTGTCGATTTTATTGAATGGTGTTCATTGTTTATTGTTTGTATATCTAAATTATTAAAATTTGGCAAACCCCTGTTTTTTGCCTCATTTGCCGTGAGAGTCATCTGTTTTAACTAGCTCAAGCGTTTACTGAAGTCATTTTCCACTTTGGTTTTAAGATCATTCCAAGAATCATCTTCGTATAGGAAAACTTGGTCGTCCGCAAAACCAAGAATGGTCATTGACGTGTTTACATGGTACAAATGATATTTTTTTATAACTATAGGTATTATTAACTTTTTTCTCTGTAAGATGACTTTTAAATAGTTTCCAAGGTATACGTCAGAGTCAGGCAGAAAAGACATTTATCAATAGTTACCTACTAAAACTTACTATTCTTTTAGGTTTGATTCTTAAGGCTATTTTAAATTATGCATATATAACTAATCACTATTTGATTGATTTGTCATATTTAATTTGTGCCCGCAATAAATATTATAATAATTATTATCATTATTATAAGTGTCGTTTATCAAACTTGAAAAATACGGTAATTCTAATTATTGGTGAAAACGCCTCGAATCGAAAAATAATAAATCGTAGTTTTAAGAAAACTAGACTAAAAAAAGTTTTCGTTTTTTTTTTGAGAACAATTTTATTGACTGATTGAGTTGCCTCGTGTTAATTGTTAAAAGGCTAGTTACGGCGCGCTAAATTCAATAAATTCAATAAATGACAATATAGATAACACTCGGCGCCAATCAAGGCCGTCCGAAAACCTCCATCTGTTTTTAAAATAAGCGTGTGCGTTCAAATCGCTCCCAAAAATAAATGACCCGTGGTGCCAAAGTGATTGATTTTAGATGAGTTGCATCCCATTAGCGTTAGTGTATATGTAAATAATAGGACACAAAACGAAAACGAGCCCAGCCCGATATTAGAATTTTGCGCTAGAAACGGCGGTTATAGTGAGATCATTCCTTTTACACTTTTTCAAGCAGTTTGCATCATTAGTCATCTCGGCGTGTCATTTTAACGACCAGCGTGCACCGCAGAGTGCATAGCAAACGCATAATCCGGTGAAACAAATTATTTACTTAGTAGCGTGGTATATTAAACCAGAACCTCGTATTCAGATCGTATGGGAAATTAAAACGAAAATTATTTTGGCGGTGCATATTTCGCTGCAGGTTTTACAAGTTTCCCAATAGTGAAACCTCGTTCATAAATGACGAAGTTCTCTAGACCGACATGTTATGAAGGGGTTTTCCGGGTAGATGTTGGTTGCAATGAGGCAAGAGGTATTAACAAAAATCTTTTTTTCTTTCAATTCATTTTCGAGGATCCGAGAAGTCCAATGTTCATGACTCTTCTGCATAGATCCGGCTGAATTTGAGAGATGTTAAACTTTAAGGCATGGATCGATTATGGTTTATTTGCATAGACCTGCGACTTCAAGAAACCCGTCAAGAAAAAGTCTAGCAGAGTCAAATCGCATGACTTTGATGACTAATTCACCTCAACTCTGCGAGAGGTAACCATAGCCTCACACCGATCGGGAAGAATGTCTATCCTGGCGTCCGCTATGTGTCACGTAGCGCTGTCCTGCTAAAACCACAATTTGCGACATAAAAAATGGAATATCATCGTTTACGAAAAATTAAGGACTCAAAATTCACTTCACCAATCATCAATCGTCTTAAATTGGGCCACCAAACCTTTAAGAGTTCACTGCGAAGGACCACCAATATGAGTAACGTTTGCAATAACGTAGGCGTATAATAAAACTTTATCATTCTGATGGATTTGATGTAACTGGGAATTTGTCATGAGATGTCGCAGATGCTTTGACGAAAATAAAATGGTCGATACGGGCCACTAAAATCCACCCGTGGCATTTAGAAACCCTGTCTGTCTCTATCACGTATAAATGTCAAGTGTTGTTTAGATCTTTTGACATCATCCACAGTTTCCTGCTCGTCAGTAATTCTCTGTATTGGTGTGTCATCGTTCCCAGTTCTCCATCGTACTACCCACAAACAACTAAACCCATTATTCTTTTTTTTTTTTGTTGCGGTGTTGTCATTAACTGTTTCGAATAAGTTTCAGCATACTTCCTGTCGGTACGGATTGCTTTTCTGTTTTTTCTAGTATATGGTAAAATTCAGACACTATTCTCTGAAAAATAAATATTTTCTACTCCATATGCTACAATACCTAATTGCGCCGAGATCCAACGTTCGGAGGGTGTCACTTCAAGACTTCAGCTTCGTTACCATCTGTCGCGGGCCACATCGGCCATTTGAGGTACTTTAGTCACGGGTTTGGGAGCGATCGGATGTTGTCGATAGATTTTAGATATTTTAACGTTTGTCGGTTCTGAAGGTCACGTCACAAGTCATTTTGTGAATGTATTCATGTTGGAGTTTATCAAACATAAATATTAGTTTTTAATTTTAAAAAAGCTACAATATTAAGCACGCCGTAGAAGCTCGGGTTTCTAATAACATAAATAACGAAACTATTAAGTGAAAATTTAATTAATATTTTAAAAAGAGTAAGCATGGTAATAAACCCGAGCAGAACCAAGCATGTTGCCACGTTCATAATAAATCGGCAACACTGCGTGTTTAAAAATATTCTAGTGAAACACTTTAGGTGGTAGTGGCACCGTGAGCCACCCTGTATATAAGGAGTGAAGAACTACTCGTCGCTTGCAGTAGATATATAAACAGCTTAGTCACACTTCTAATAACGACACCTCTAAATTATTAGAATTCGGAAGCGTCAACCAATTACAAAAATTAATGAATGTTTTGACCGTCAGTTTAGTTCTACATAGTTATTTATTCACAACCAAGCTACACTCCGTGTTAACGCACCATTGTGGTTAACATTTTAAAAATTCATTAATGATAAGTTTCCTCATCGCAACCGATGTCCAAGTGGATCTCCCACTTAACTAGTAATGAAAAGTACTAAGTAGTTACAATCGTCGACGGACTATTTTATGGATAAAAAATGAAAATTTTACAAATAAACATATGATCTTAATGGAGAACGATGATTTTTTTTTCACGATCATCTAAACATTTCAATATTTGATAACCGTAACATTATTACTTCCCTAAATGAACTTTCATGTCCATATATTTTGTCCTTTTAACTAAATGGCTAAACTACTAAAAAAGTCAAAACAATTTTTCGGTAATTTGATAGAGCAGTCTATTTTTTTAAAGTAAAGTAAATGTTGTCTCCACTGCATGTTAAAATGATTTCAAATTATTTTAACCGTTTTTAGTCCAACCGTATTCGTACATCCCAAAATTGAAAAATATGTATAATTTTATTTATATAATGCTTTAGAGCCTTTAAAGTGAAAACACATTTGCTCATTTTAAGATTAAGGTTGTAACTTGTTTCACTGCCAAAAAATGCAAACATAAAATTTTCGTTTATATTTTGACGCCTACCAACTGGGCATATTAAAAGAGATAATAAACATAATAAAGTATAATAAAGTATGTTTTTTTATTATTTCGTTTTCTCTATGACTGATGTCAATACAAGAATTTCAACGAACTGATCTCAAAAATACACAGTTTATCGGTATTTGGTTCGAACATTTAACTAAATTTTATTATTTATTATTATTATTTAAGAGTGGATTTTTTTAATTAACATCTATTAACCTTAACTTAAATTGTTTTCTATTGTAGATAAACATGTTTTGCGTTAACTTAGTTGTTATTGCTTTAAAAAAATATATCAGAACTAGAAGTGTATTTTTCTTGACTTCACGATGCTTAATTGTTTAAACTGTACAAAAAAATAATTCAGAAGAGACCATAACATTCTCATATAAAAACTTTTGCGGGTTCTTTTTAATAAAGTAATGGGCAGTCATGACGGTATGTTTTGTTTTAGTTGGACAGGGTCATTTTTTCAATAGACACAGAAATTTAAACCTAATTATTTTATTTGAGTATCTCCTTCCTAACAGATTTATTTTTATTCAACAATTAAAAAAACGTTATATATATGTTGCATGGTTCAAAATAAAATTCTGTTTTTTGCCTATACAATTTTCAATTATTGCTTCCAACATTGAAACTTTAAATATGATTTGTACATTTAAATTCTTAAAAAAAAAACTAATTTTATAATTAGCATATCGGGTTAATGGTTTATTTTCTCGGTTCTCAGTTAAAATCTCTGGAGATAGTTTGAGATGGGAAAAAACCATGCGCATAAGTAGTTAAATCAGAACAAATCAGAATAACCTAATCAAAAAATTTAAAATAGTATATTACGCAACAAGTTTGGTAGACGGCCATTTTAATTAGGTTAATCGAGTTACTCAAGAACTTTACTACGACTAAACATTAATGTCAAATTTTATATTTTGAAATGGGGAATAGAAACAGGTATATTAGTCAATAAAAACGGATATAATCACATTTATAGCATTCATTTTAAACCTCCGATCATTTCATTTATTTGCTTTCAGTGCCCATGGTGCATATAAATTTAAAAAAAAAATTAAACGATTGTTCCAATTCAATTCAATGCTTTAAAATTTTAAAATTTGTCCATAAAGCCTCAATTAAAAAGTGGCCACCCTGTATAATGATAACCATAAAACCATACTATAAGGCCTGGTGGTTAACATCTTAAAATTTAAATTATTATATTTCTCCTTTTGGAAATTCGCGTCAATTGGACACTTGAACTCGCGTTTACCACACAACAATATTAATTAAAAACGAATAAAATTACCTATAAACATTTAACGGCGTACTTACTTCGTTCCTGCAAATGACCCGCCTGGTAAATTTTAACGTTAAGCGATTATCCATAGATCGGTAAAAAACCTTCGACCACCATATTCGGCACATTTACATCGTATAATATTCCCGTTCCGAATGAAAAACTTTCGAAAAGTGGCGTTAAAGAGTTACGCGCTTCCGTTCACGTCAGTCTCGCGGCGAAATACCGAAAACGACGACGACGACGCTGCTCCGCGTCCACTATGCGATGCCGCGGTTTGAATGAGCGTCGGTGTCATACTGAAGCGCGCCGCGACGCCTACAGCATCGTCGCTTCCCAGCAATACGCCGACTTTTCGCTCAGCCACGGCGGCAGGCACAGTAGGATTCCCAGCTCTATGCGGACCCGCAGGATTTTCACGTCCTTACTTATTTTTTTTCGATTTTGTTTTTTTTTATCGGGTCGAACGTCGTTTTCGCCCGGCACGTTGATTCGCTGACGGCCGACGAACGTTCGTTACGCGACCTGACGCGTTCGTCAAACACCTTTATGAGGTACGCGAAGCTCATTAAAACGGACAACTCTTTCAGGGACAATTTTTTCCGTAACTGGAAAATAGAAATATTGGCGTTGACAAAAAATTTTCCCGCGGAGACAACAATTAGTGGGGGAAACGGACGTTAGAGTGCGAGTCGCAGCACAAAAACAAACTCCATAAAATTTTTGAGTAACTCAAAAATAGTAATGATGATAACAAAGAAAATGTTCTCATTGGAGCAGAATTAGTTAGAATAAGTGACGTTATAGTGTGGATAGGACCATGCAACTTTTGAAATACCTATCATGTTTTTTTAAAAAGTGACGTTACAGTAGGAATAGGACGATATAAGCAAGCATATCGTATTTTCCAAAAAAAAACTTCATTAAAGCATGACACTTTAAAACAATTTTTTGTTGTTACTCAAAAATAGTAATGATGATAAGAAAAGAATGTTCTCATTGCATTAGAAATAGTCAAATAAAGTGGCGTTATAGACAGAATAGGACGATAAAAGGAAGCATGTCGTTCCTTTTATTCCATTCCATTACAATATGCAACTTTTGAAATACCTATCATTTTTTCTGTAACTCAAAAATAGTAATGGTGTTAACAAAATATTCTTATTGGAGTAGAATTATTCAGATTAAGTGACGTTACAGAAGGAATAGGACGATATAAGCAAGCATGTCGTATTTTCCAAAAAAAGCTCCATCCAAACATTTAACTTTTGTAATACCTATTTTTTTATAACTCAAAAATAGTTACGATGATTACAAAAAAATGTTCTCATTGAAGTAAAATTAGCCAGATACAGTGACAGTAAAATGGACTTAGGCCGATATAAGCTAGCATGTTGTATTTTCAAAAAAAAGCTCCACTACAACATGCAACTTTTGAAATACGTTTCATTTTCTCTGTAACTCAAAAATAGTAATGGTGATACCAAAATGTTCTTATTGGAGTAGAATTAGTCAGATTAAGTTCCATTAAAATATAGAATTTTTGTAATACCTATTTTTTTGTAACTCAAAAATAGTGTCTATGATAACAAAAGATGTTCTAATTGGAGTAGAATTAGTCAGATAAAGTGCCAGTAAAAAGGGGCTTAGGACGATATAAGCTAGCATTCCGTATTTTAAAAAAAAAGCTCCACTTTCTGTAACTCAAAAACAGTAATGATGATAAAAAAATGTTGTCATTGGAATAGAATTAGTCAGATAAAGTGACGTTGTAGTGGGAATAAGCACGTCGTATTTTTCAAAAAAAACTTCATTAAAACACGGAATTTTTGTAATACCTATTTTTTGTAACTCAAAAAATTAGTGACGATGGTACCAAAAAAATGTTCTCATTAGAGCAGAATTAGTTAAATAAAGTGGCGTAATGGTAGGAGTAGCACGATATAACCAAGCTTGTCGTATTTTTCAAGAAAGCTCCAGTAAAACATGCAACTTTTCAATTTTTTTTTCTGTAATTGAAAATTGGTAATGACGATGATAATAAAATTTCCTTCAATGGGTAGAATTAGTAAGAGAAAGTGACATTAAAGTGATAGTGGCACCATAAAGCAAAAATGTATTATGAAAGAAAGCGCAATTAAATACAAAATTGGTAATGACGATGACAAAAACAATTCGTTTGGAGAGTGAAATTAGTAGAAGAAAGTGGCTGTAAAACATTGTCATTAAAATAAAAATGTCGTATTCTCGAATAAAACTACATTAAAAAATGCAACTTCTTAAAATATCCAAAATAACAGATATTGACGTAGAAAGAATAATTTCCTCCAGAGAATAGAATAATAAAAGAAAGTGACATTAAAGTGAAAGCAACACAATAAAGCAAAAATATGTTATTTTTGAAAAAAGTTCCATTATAACATGCTTATCAATGGTCATCATTTTCTTCCAGGGAGTAGAATTAGCAGAAGAAAGTGACGATTCTCTCAAAAAAAAAGTTGTATCCTCGGAAAAAGCTCCATTAAAACATGCAACTTTTTGAAACACCATTTCAGATATTGACGTTGAGAATTGAGAATTAGTAAAAGAAACTGACGTTCAAATGGGAGTAGCATTATTAGACAAAAATATTTTTTTCTTGAAGAAAGTTCTGTTAAAACATAGGGTTTATCGAAATACCGTTTTTCTGCAACTCAAAAATTTTAATGACGACAACGAAAGAAATTCCCTAGGGAATAGAATCAGTAAGAGAAAGTCACGATATATCATAAAATTAAAAATGTCGTATTCTCTAAGAAACTTTAAAACATGCAAATTTTTTAAAATTTCATTTTTTTTTAACCCCAAAAAAACGTAAATAATGAAGTTGATAAAAAAATTTCTTCCGTTTTGTGTATTCTCCAAAAAAGCTCCATTAAAAGAATACAATATTTTGAAGTATCAGAGATATTAAAGTATAGGATGGCACCATAAAAACGTAAATGTATCCAGGAAAGGGCTAAATAAAAATATTTATAAATATCGTTTTTTTCTGTAACTCAAAAATAACACAGCAATTGAGATTGGCAAAATGTTTTCTTCTGGAGCGTAGAATTAGTAAGGAAGAATCTCGGTTAAATATGAGTGGTACAATGCAAGCCGTAAAAAAAAATCATTTAATAATATTCAAGAACATTAATTAAGTAAAACTTTAAATAGGGAGTAGAAATAAAGAAACATAACCTATATATATATATATATATATATATATATATATATATATATATATATATATATATATATATATATATATATATATATATATATATATATATATATATATATATATATATATATATATATATATATATATATATATATATATATATATATATATATATATATATATATATATATCGTTGAACTCCGACTGGAATCCTGCAGACGTTTCGCCAAAATCTCACTTGGCATCTTCAATGCTCGCGCTCCAAAAACACTTCGAACACAATGATATCCCGGAATATAGTGTCATCACATTTTTCCATCCGTGAATCAATACGTGATATATATATATATATATATATATATATATATATATATATATATATATATATATATATATATTCTCACGTATTGATTCACGGATGGAAAAATGTGATGACACTATATTCCGGGATATCATCCGTTCGCTCGTTGAACTCCAGGATTCCAGTCGGAGTTCAACGAGCGAACGGATGATATCCCGGAATATAGTGTCATCATATATATATATATATATATATATATGATGACACTATATTCCGGGATATCATCCGTTCGCTTGTTGAACTCCGACATGTGATTAAAGTAGAACATCGAACTTGCGTGTTGCGTATTTTTAATATTTATTACCTGCTTTACAATTTGGACCTTTTTTATATCATTTTTGACGGAAACAAGAAGAAAACAAAGTAATAAATTTACATAAATAGGCAAAATAAAAAGATATATAAGATATTTAGGCAAAACTGTTGTTTCATAAGATTAATGAGAATGTCTATTAAAGTAATTATTGGCATATTTATTAAAATTATTCTTTTTATCTTTTAATTGCATTCTCTCTCTCCGAGCAAATCTAACACTTCTTCCTGCGGAAGCTGGAAATAATTTGGCGTTTTTGTTGACAACAAATCTAAATTTTATTAAAAAAATATTTAAAAAGCTCTTGGGCTAGGAGGTTTTCGGAAATTACAGTAAAAACGAAAACAAAAAACAGCTTCGCGTTAAAACTGAAGCGGCCTTTTACTATCCATTAATTTAGGAAACAATAAACCTTTAAAAATGACGGCAAAGAAGAAGAAAACCTCGAGTATTTACAACCGCAATCGTTACGATAACGCGTTTCACTAAGAAAGGCTTCCCAAACTAAAAGAATGCAATTTTATTGTTAGACCGCGGTAATTTTCGAAACATTCAAAAATGTCAACGTTAATGCCGACGCGATTAGTGCGCTCGATAACTCGACAACGTTGCCGGATCACGCGAAACTGAAATAACAAAAATATCGGAGTTTTTAAAATTGCAGAGAGAGGGATTATCATCGGACATTTTCAGCGTGCAATTTGTCCACTTAAGGCACTGCGCTGCAATTTGATAGATTTTTTCCGGGGAATTACGCGATTAAGGTTCATTGATATACGATTGCTTTTATGTCCAGCACTATTTTGCATTTAAAGCTCTTTGTCGGCGCCGCACACGTGGGCATTGCGAATCGTTCAGCAAAATCGTCTAAAACAATTGTTTGTACGAAAGGTGCCGCTGGGTTGCCATTGGAAAATAACTAAAAACCTTGTTTTTAAGTTTTTTTAAGTGTTTTTTAGGCAAATGAAAATCGAATAACAAAAAAGAAGATTGTTGGTCTATTCTTCGGTCGGTCTAGGGCTTTTCACACCATCGATCATCAGTTGTTAAGGAAACTTGAGAGCTATGGTTTCAAAATATTAGGGGTCAAACAGGGAGAACCTGAGGGCCCTATATTGGGCCTCATTATCATTTTTTTATCATTTACGTGGATGAGCCTCCAAATGGATTATCCAGTTTTTCTGCGCATTAGCGCTATCTATTTTGCTTGCTTTGGGATTTTGGGATTTTACCAAGCATGCACCAGAAAAGAAGTCTCAAGATGAATCAGGACTTCCACTTCGTTCTCTATATTATGGATTAGATAGCACTTTTACACTTCTGTTAGGTTTGCTAAATTGCATATGCAAAACCAGAATAACCCCCAAAGATTGGCTCAGGGCAACTTTCGCTGCTCTGCCCAACAAA